CGCTTAGGGCTTTTGAGATTGATGCCCGACTCAAGACCCGAGCCAAGACCTGAAGCTTGATGTTAATCAGAATATTTAGAAACAATCGTATATCGACGTGTTTGAGATCCACCCCCAGGAAGAGACAAAGCAAACCACATATTTAAGAAGAATCCCTTTAATTAAATTGGAAATATATCTGCAGTAATTATAATTTCAAGAACCCAATGGACTTGGGTAAGGGTCTAACACTTTGAAATAAAAAAATATGGGCATAGGATTACAATCCAAGAGACTAGGGGGATAAGAGCATAGGAGGTAAACATATAAGGAGAAACTTAATTATGGCTTACAAGCAAAATTTCCAACTTTATCAAATCATCAAAATGCTGTAAATATGTGTTAAAACACCTATTTCAATAATTTAAACCACCCATAATCAATTTCCATCAACATGCAATAATTTAGAAACCTAGGGTTTTCAATTTGGGGCATTTTAATTCAAAACAAAATCTGAAAATTTATTTACATTATACTTATAATCAAACATCAATAAAATCATCACAAACATCCAAAATCACCAATTAAATAAAGGCTAGTTTAGGATTAAAACAAAAAGAATTAAAATTTAAAATTTCTTTTTTTTTTTAAGGTCAAGCAGCAACCCCGACACCACAACAAGCTGCTGTCGCGCTGTTGGTGGTGTCATCGCAGCTGCCGACGCCTGCTGGTGGTGCGGCGGTCGTCTGACTATGTGGTGGTGGCCGGTGGTGGTGATAAAAAACAAGGGGAAGGGGAAAAATAAGAAAGAAAAGGAAAATAAGAGGGGAGAGAGAGAGTTACCTTTGGGTATTCTCCACATTGATCAAAGTTTGATTTTGCTCATATGGTAGGTATTTATATCCTCTCTCAAAACCCTCCTTCTGGAAATGCTCTTCCTACCCTTAATGATCCCTTTCCTATTCCAACTACAATTTGACTTTCCTAAATGCCATTGACTGTAAAAATTATCCTGTTAAAAAATCATATGCCCCAATATTTTTAAATTATAAAATAAAGTATTTCAACATTATTAAATAAATAAATTGGTTTTTTAATAAATCTCTTTAAATTAATAAAACGTCATAAATAATTGATTTCTACTTATTTAAATACTTTGAGAAATACTATTTAAATTTAAAATACGTATAAAAATAGGGGTATTACAATTTATTACAATATCCTGACACAATTGGAATTCTAGCAACATAATATTGAAAATTTTGAAATGATTTTATGCAAATGTTTTCCAATTTACAGGATTTTGTGTAAGTTTCGGAACGAAACTTCTTTTAAGAGGGGTAGATTGTAATCCCCCGTATTTTATAAATAATTTATAAATGAAATTTTATTTTATTTATAATATTTATTTGTATTTTCTAGAATTTATTCTACAAGTTTTGAATTATTTTTGGGTCAAGATTTAATAAATTTTGGGTACTAGTAACAGCCCTATAAAAGTTGAGATATTTTATGAATCGAATATATCGTCATATATGAATTGGGAACTTGTGCCAATATTGAGATATTAATTATTACCATGTGAAAGATTATTTTATCGATGTATGATATCAAAAGGCTGAGATTATTATTTTGTTCTTGGTTTGAGGCTCGACATTATAAACCTTAGTTCTTGGCATGTTGGTAAGGAGATAATAATCATGAGTTAAAAATGAGGTACAATCTTTATTTATATTTTTTTATGGTCCCCTATAGTGGGATTTGGCTCGTATGTGGTTTGGTTTAAGGTGTTTTCTGGTTATTGAGAGTATTCAAGTTTTTATACTTGTTGGTTTATCTATTCAAATTACCCATGTCCAAGCTAAGGCTAGGTATAGAACAAAGAGCACGGCACACTTATGGGCCAGGATAGATGAGTAAAATGAGTAAAAGATCATATTATTTTTCGAGGTTGGGTTTAACAAAGGTTGTTTCTAGAGTACAATGTGTAATGTAGTTTTGAACTACATTGTTTAATTGAGCTAGTAGTGTTAATTATTCTATTATTCTCAACATTTTGATATGTGATGATTACTTAGCCTTTTGCTGACATGTTTATACTTGTTTGTTGTGCTTTCGGCCATGTCTTTTTCTCCCGCGACGATCCATTTTGGAATTTGTCCTTAATGGTGAGAAATCAAGATTGTAACAGGTTGATCAAGTGATGACCGTAGCTAAAGGAGCTCAAGTGTTTCCAATAGTTTGTTATAACGAGTTTGTAAAGCTGTATAAATAACTCACTTAGATTATTGGGTCGTACAGTTAGGATTTTGTAAGCCTTAACACTTGATATGTTGTCAAGTGTGGCAGGGTCACCTCCGATTTAGGTGTATGCTTCTGCAATTTTATTTAAAAGTTGTCAATTTTTCCTTTATTTATTGTTTTTTATTACTTAGTAAATCGGGAGTGTTACAGCATGATCATTACACTGTAATAATTCAATAGAATTTTATGCTTAGGGGGTCTTAATCTTACAAAATTACCTTTTGTTATGAGTCAAGGGTTATTTGATGCATTTTTTTATGCAAACCTCAGGGTACACGATGCATTTAAAAGTTTGTAAGAGTACACGGTGCATTTTTTAAAACCTCAAGGGTACACGAAACAATTCCCTTAATTAATAAAAAAAACATATATTTATCTAAAATACTATAAGGAATTTATTATGAAAGAACCTATTAGCCAGATAGGTATTTTAACGTACACATTTGACAATATCTAAACATATTTTTGTATATTTCACCAACAAATTGGTATACATTTTTTTGTCTTATAGACTAAATGAATTTTTTAAAACTGTGTACTACGTATTTAACCTTTAAATAGATTTCTATTTTAATTTATTTTAGAAATTAAATTGGTTTTGTAATTAACGTGGTACATTACGCTAATATGTCACATGTTAATAAGAATCCGATTTTTTTTCCTTACATTTACGCTCCGTAATTGTTAATATTTTTTTGTGGAAAGTTACATCAAATCTTTTATATTAAATAATTAATATTCTAATTAATTTCTTAGAGCTTCTAATATATAGTATTATTTTATAAAAAATATTTTATTAAAGTACATGACACTATGTTTGGCAAAAATTATGTTGAAGTTTGATTTTTTTTTTCTTTTACTTTATTTTTTTATTTTATATTATTTTAAGGAATGTTAGGCGAGTACTATCGACTCACTATAATTATGCTAGCAACAAGATATGATAAAGTATTACCCGGCTTACGAACATGATTGCACTTAAAAGAAGAAAAACCATGCTTCAGTCGCTTAATATTTTTTATATAAAGCATCAATGGGAAGTATCCTGCAACCTCTTATTCAATGTTATTGACAATATTGTATGCTTCGCTTTCCAATTCAATATTGTCAAACACAATTTTACTTAAATTTATATACTCCGTAGTTGTCAACTTTATGATTTGTTTTCTAAATAGACTAAATTAAATTAAAAAAAATCACTAAGGGACCCACTAAAAATGACATGTTTGCTAGTTTATACAGCTAATAGATTGATGATGGAACTCGACCCATTGAGTTATTTATGACGGATCTAACCCATTTATAACCGGGCGGGTCATGGGTTTTAATAGCTGATAATTGAATGAAATATCCCCCCTTGAATCCAAGGCCTCCAAGCTCCAACCTACCTGTCACTAGTACAAAACTAACCTCAAATAACACCCAAAAAGTGTTACACAAGGTGGTAAAAGTGTTATTATAGACAATAGGTAACACTTTATTAGGTGATACATCCGCCCATGTTACCTAAGGTCTTATGTAACACTTTGGGTAACGTACAGTAACACTTTCAAAAGTGTTATTATAAACCCTTTTATGTATCACTTTTTACATTATTAGTATCATTTTCAAAGTGTTACTCTTTATTTCTTATGTAACACTTACTTATCTTTAGTAACATTTTTTAATCATATAGTATCACTTTATCCAACATTATGTATCATTTTTTCGAACTAATGTAACACGTTGTTGATTATTAGGTAACAATTTTCAATCATGTTTTGACATATAGTAGCACTCTATTGGACATTATATATCACTTTTTACAAAGTAATGTAACACTTTATAGATTAATAGGTAACATTTATTATTATTATTATTAAAATTATTATTATTGTTGTTGTTATTATTATTATTATTATTATTATTATTATTATTATTATTATTATTATTATTTACTATATTTTTTAAAATATAAGGAAAAAAATTATATGTACAACAACTACATGAATAAGAAATCAACACATATGATAGAAAACAATTTGGATTGAAATACTTTCATAATTCTCACAAAAAAAAATCCATAAACACCAATTTTAATGTTTGGCCAAACAATATAATAATCCAAACACAAAGAATATTAAGTTCGATCTCTAGCTTGGAAAAAGTAAGGAAATATAAAAATAATAATAACAGCATATAGCAGCTACATAGCTAGCTAGCCGAACATCAGAAGCAGTAACGGATGCTGCCATCAGTAGTCTTTAGTAGAGCTGTTCATGGACGGGTGAACCCGCTAAACCCGCCCAACCCGGCCCGCAAAAAAAGTGGGCTTGGACAACCATTTTGAAAAAAATTGTTAATTTGGGTGGGCTAGGCCTAGCCCGTTAATATAAATGGGCGGACACGGACAAGACAATATGTACCATGGGCTAGCCCGCTCGGCCCGTTTATTTTAAAAAGTAATAGTTTAATGATTTTTTAGTTAGTTGATTATGTAGTATATTTTAGAAAATAAATACAAAGAGACTATATTGGACTCTAACCTATTATTAGCTACAACCTAACTATTTATTTCAATTTTATATTTAATCATTATACTTGTATTAAATAAGTTCATTCTTTCCTTTTTTTTCACTAACATATGTCACAAGTTAAATATGTTTTTCTTTCTAGTATCATTAGTGATCAAGAAATTTTTAAGATAACTAAATCAAAATAATATTAACATATGTTAATGATAAAAAAAAATAATTAGTGTTAAATATATGTAAAACAAATATTTTAGGCCCGTGAGCCCGCGGGCAAGCCCGACCCATTAATAGAGCGGGCTTGGACAATTTATCAAGCCCGTATGAAAAGGTTCGGGTTAGCTACAATTAGCCCGTTGGACAAAAAATGAAGTATAGGCCCGGCCCGTTTCCCGTCCAAGCCCTCAAACGATCACCTCTAGTCTTTAGCAGCAACCAACAGTAGCAGATAGTAGTGGAAGCTTCCAGCAGTAGCAGACATTAGTTGGCAGCAACCAGCAGTAGCAGAGCAGTGGCAGCAAATGGAATGAGAAAGAGTCAGCAACAGATCAGACAACAATGTCAATAGTAACAGAAAAAGACAGCAGCAAAACAGCGGTAGCAGCAGCAAAACAACGGTAAAAGTAAGTAGAGTTCTTCTAGCATCATAAATTGCTATCCCAATTCTTCATCTTGATCCAATTGATCCTATGTGTGAAAGCATCATATATCAAACAACCATAACAAAAATGAAATAACGCAATAATAAGAGTTGATGCTTTTTAAAAGATTATATATTAAATTATTAACCATTACATCATTTCGCTTCTGTTCATTAAAGTGTACAATCGGAATATGATCTGTAAGTTCTGGATTGGATGACACATTTTCAAGTGACTGAGTCAAAGTATCCAACACTTCTGGATCAATTTGCTTGAGTGTCTTCATTAATTATGCTACAGTTTCTTTCACAATTTGGCCTTTATATGGCTTTAAGAACTCATCGGGAATTATTGGTTTGTTGTTCTTTCCCCTTAGTGAACATATCCCCGGTTGCTTTTATTTTGCTCTATCTTTGTTTGTCTGGCTTCTATTTTGTTATATCCTTGTTTGTCTAGCTTTCTCAAAATCTTCCATCTGGATCTTGCTTCTTACAAAGAACATACAAGAGAGTTAGTTGGCGAACATCATTGATGACAAACAGGTTTTTGGAGTGTCAGACACCTAGCAGAGTATTTAATATATGCATCTAAGTAAAAGATATCATTATTCTCACGACACTGAAGTCGACTACGACACACACACTCCCCTTTGCAGATTTCAGTTCTGAAATTCAGCTTGAATTCAGTTCTAAATTTCAGCTCTGATTTCAGTTCTGAAATTCAGCTCTGAATTTAGTTCTAAATTTCAGCTCTGATTTTAGTTCTGGATTTCAACTCTGAATTAAGTTATGAATTTCAGCTCTGATTTCAGTTCTGAAATTTAGCTCTGAATTCAATTCTGGATTTCAGTTCTGATATTAGTTCTGGATTTCAGTTTGGAATTTCAGCTCTGAATTCAGTTCGGAATTTCAGCTCTGATTTCAGTTATGAACTCCATTATTCTTGTAGCTCAATATAGAAGACAGAATGTTAAGAGGGGAAAGAAATGGTGATAGTGGTGGGAAATTGACAGGCTCAAGGAGAAATGGCAGTCAAATGATAATGCATCAGGTCTGATTTGAAAGACAATTGACCATTGGAAGCATGCTCTAGCAATACACCATAATATCTTAACCTGAAATGAATATGTATGCTGTCCTATAGAGAAGCAAGAATATTAGACAAGTTCTTGATTATTAGCTACTGAGCCAATAATATTTTTCTGATCTGTATTAATCAGAGAGTCTTGAGTTATATACACAAAATAGGCAGATTTTTGCATGAAAATTTGCATAATAGATATAAAAACAAAGTTATTATGGTAGAATCATAGTAGAAAGGGTACAAATTAAAATAAGATTCAAAACTAGGACATTCAAGCCAACCACCCTAAGATTCCAAGGCATTAATGTATTTTCCACATTGATTTCAATATAAGCCAAAAAAGAAAAAAATGAGAGAGACAGGAACGAAGAAAGAGCACCTGACTGGAAATTCGAGTACCTTGAGCACAGAAAGAGAACCTGAGCACCTGACTGCACATAAAACAAAAGTCTAGATTCATTTACAAATTCCTAGTAGAAAGGGTATTGCAACAGTTAGCTAATTGTAATTTGGGTCCTAATGAAAATAAGAATGACCCTATGAATATTCAACAACCCATGGGTATTTGACTGCCACTATAATATCAAACCTCAAATCAAACCAACTGCAAAATAGAGGTGCTCTATCGCATAAAACTAAATTTAACCACTAACTTACAAAAAAAAAATAACACAAGTTCAAATAGAAATATAAAACACTACAATGATAGTTTGTCAAAATCACATAAGAAAACAATAAAGAATGAAAGCATTAACTTACCCCTAAAACTAGGAATTAGGAAAATAGGTAGCCTGATTTGATCCTTGGACCCATTTTAGCATTAGGGGAGGGGAACCTGGAATCAACAATGATGCAGGAAGAATAGGTGGTCTAACACCAGGTCTTTACACTACATAGGTTGGCCACTAATACCTTAATTCTCTCATCAATCAAACTTTGTGTTTGTTCGTTGCTCCTCAAATTGTTGATAGTATATCCATACATTTGCATTAAGTGTGATAGTTGACAGAAATTCAAACGAGTGACTAACCCCTCCCCCAACTCACACACACACACACTCACACACACACACACACACACACACATGAATGACAAAGTCTGGATCTTTTATGTAGATTTGGCACCTCTGTGACCTCTTGTAAAGTGCGCCTTTCAGCTTTTCTAGTTTTATTCGTTAATGGTTTGGAGGTCCCTTCTTGTCTTTATGATGAGACGCTTGTGCTTCTGATACATTTCCTCCCTTCTCTGCATCATTGTTTTCATTAAAAAAAAAGTACAGCATAGATCATGTTCACATATAAAAAGAGATACTTACTCTAGGCAATTTAAATTAAAAGTAAAATGATTCTATAAATGCAATGCAATGTGAGAGAGGAAAAAAAAAGACATATAAAATCCCACACAATAAAAGGCTACAAAATGCATATATTAAATGCAAATCAACACTACAGAAATGACAGTTGCGTCTATATTGTAGCTCCTTGTTGGAGGAGGTCTGAAATAGATGTACAAATCCCTGAATTGGTCCTTTTCGGAATAAACTTGTCCATTAATTAACTTATATACTCGTATATGTCCTCAATTGAACTTATTTATCTAAACTTATTGGCCTTGAAATGAACTTAGTCAACTTACAATGTGAATAGAACATGGCCTTAACTTTCCATAAGCACCAACACCACCCCAATTGAAAAAATCAAGCCAATTTGAAACTCCACAACAGCTAAAATCCCAATATCATAATTTCAAAAAAAAAAAAATAGTCAAGCCAATTTCAGCAATTTCACCATCAATCCATATTCTAACTAGTAGTATACATCTATATTATAGAAATTTACAGAAATTTCAAACATGAGAATGAATTATACACATATTAACTGACTACTTCAAGCTAAAATCACTAAAACTTCAGATTTCAGCAAATAACTAGCAATTGAAAGATAACCTAATTTAAGAAAATTGAGGATGAATTGTACACACTCGTACACAAATTAAAGCTAAAATCACTAAAACAAACATCATGAAAACCCTTAATTAGAGAAAAAAGAAGAGGGAGGGAAGTGAAAACTTATTGGTGGAAACGATTTTTCATTGAGAAGGAACAAAAATAGGAGGAATTGAGAGATTGGAGAACGGTAAAGCGAAGAAGCCGAACGAGAATTGAGAGATTGGAGAACAGTAAAACCATCACCCCCAACATCGAATTTTTGCTTTTTGATGGGGTTTGAGGTTCCATCTCCAAATTACCATAATCTTAATTCCCCAATTTCTCATTTAATTTTCACAAAAAAAAACCCCACTAAATCATTAAAAAATCAAACACAACCCAGAAAACAATTCGATTATTGAACCATAACCCATGAGATTATTTAATCAATCAAACAAAGGGTAATCCTTAATTTCATCGATTTTGCTCAAAACGCTGACTTTGAAACATATTAACTTAAATTAAGTATATAATATAGTAAAAATCAAAGTAAATTGTATGATCCACGAACCTGGTAGTAGCTCAGAGATCACCCCGTCTTTCGCTTTCAAAGAACAATGAAATATCGAAGTAGATCTATGAAGTGGAAGTGACAACCCAACAACCTTGTTTTGCGCTACATGGATTAAAGAATCTTAACTCATGCTGAGAAAACATTTTTGAGCGAGAATGAGAAGAGTAGATAGATTAGAATGAAAAATTAAAATAAAGGGCAGCGATTAGCTTTTTCTACAGTGGGATTAGAAGAAAAATATATTTAATTAGAAAATAAAAGGATTGAGTAACATCAAATTAAGTGTTACAACTAAATGATACCTAATATCAAAGTGTTACCATTAACTGTTACATAATATTAATGTGTTACAAAAAATGTTACTTAATACGACAATGTTACAAAAGTGTTACGTAAAAATCAAACAATCCTAAAATTTTTAAAGTGTTACCAATGAGTGTTACTTAAGCCCAATTTTGTACTAGTGTGTGTCTCTGAGTTCTCCATTGAAGCGCACTCAACGTTCTCCATTGAAGCGCACCCAACATCGCACTTGATGAAATCAGACCTCAGAGACGGGCCTGCTGCCCTTTCTCAAGGAATCTTTCAACCCTTTAGAGCAATTGGTTATTTGTGTTCTGCTGCCCTTTAGAGCAATTCCTTTAGGTGTTGGTGTTTACATGGCACCTAATAGGAATGCATACAGCAATATAAGTGATTATTTGTGTTCTGATGTAATAAAATATGAGTTGTCATGTTCTTTTCTATACTGATGCATAACTTTTTGTGTGTGTGTGTGTGTTTTTTTTTTTTGGTAGACACCAACTAGGAGAGGTACACCCATTCAGCTTACACAATCAAGCCAAACATCCACACTTCAATAGAATAGCTAAGGGTCTAGTTCTGTTTCTTTTGCCAAGTCAGTCCAACAAAACTTATATATTTGTACTGACTAATAGTATCAACATTCAATGATGGGCTGCAATATTATTTTGAAACAATGGATGCATGTATTTTTTAAAACAATGTTGTTCTGTTTCTTTTGAGAAATCTGATCTGTGCATATGTAGTCACAGAAACAATCACTCAAGGCAGTGTATATTTTGGAAACAATGTTCATTTGTCGCCATTATTTAATCAAATGATGTTATTATTCATTGAAGGTAGAGTACAACTGCCATTTCATTTCACAAACTACAGGAGCTTACAACAGCATCTTAACACTACATATCCTTTTTAACGTCATTCATTTCAAATACAACAGTAACATAACAAAAAACAATCATGATAACAGCAAAGCCATAGAAAAATTCCTTTCATTCCTTGCGCTTTTCATTAATTCAATCCTAACTTGACAGAGTTCAAACTTCAATTCCTATAATTCTTCCTCTGCATTCTCCTTCTTAAGCTGCAATTTCTTGATTTTTTCATCCAACAAACCCTTCTCATACTCCATCTGTGCAATGATTGTCTCCTTTTCAAACACTGTAAACCGCAAATCTTCAGCAATTTCCACACCATCCCACTTAAAAAAATCACAACAAGTATCCTGTAATTAAATACACACACCCAATTCAATTTTCGACCTAAAAAACCCAAAATTACAAAGTTTAATTAAAATCGAAATTAAACATACTGGCCAAAGAGGGCATCCATGAAACTTCATTCCAGCATTAAGTCCATGCTTCACTGTACGCGAAATTGCGTCCCTACCATAGTTGCATTTCACCTTGGACTGACTTTCACCTCTTGAATTAGAGGACGAACCAGAAGCCAGAAAATTGCCTATTTCCAGGCATTGTCGAAGGAAAACGAGGAGAATAGTGAAGGGAAGAACAAGAGAATTAGGGTGAATTGAAGTTATGGTGAGAAAGGGAATCAGGGAAGGAGAGATCGTTTAAGGAACAAGAGTTAAACGAAAAAAAAAAGAAATAAATTAATTCAACCGTCACTGCCACGGATGGCAACCTGTTGTAAAAGGTTGGGTGACCTTATGGGCCTAATGAAATAGAATGGGGGGGGGGTTAAACACATTCGAAAGTCAAACACATTCAAATTGGGGCGTTGACTTTGCGTTGACTTTTCTCTCTTCTCTCTCTTCCATAGTTCTGTGATTTTGATGGTTTTTCCTCCTTGAGATCTTTAAAAATGGCAAAGAAGAAGAAACAAGCTACTCCTCTCCCCCAAGATGCTGTAAAACATACTCATATAGCTCCGATTGATAAGATTCTGGAAAGTTTAAGGAATTATGGGTCTACTTTCAACCCAGATTTGATTGATGAAGTTGATGAACTTGTTACTCCAGCTCCTGGATTAGTTCATCCATCTGCTGGAATGTTGCCCCGAAGTGATGTAAACACCATTGTTGCAGCTAAGGACCTAAATTTTGGCTCGATTTCAAAGGATTTCAATAGAATAGTACCTAGGGTTTCTCCGGTTACTGTTCCATTGGATTCTGTTCTTGATACTTCTTCTCTTCCCAATTCGAATGTTCCCATGCCAAATGCTGATCTACCTGAACATTCTGAGGGATTAGTAGCTCCTAATTCAAATAATGATACCTCATTCCGTGGAAAACTTGCTGCAAAGGGATCTGCTCTGTTCTATGTTGCTCCTGTTATTAAGGAAGGTAAGCTTGTTGCTAAATTGGTTTCTGCTGATTTGCTACAGGGTAATAAGAAGTGGTGTAATGTTGTAATATTCTATGTTGTGGGTTACTACCCTACTATTGCTGTTGTGCATAGGTTTATATCTCAGAATTGGAGTGATTTTGGAAAACCAGAAATCTTCTAGCATGATGATGGTTATTTTGTTGTTCTCTGGACCCCATATGTTTTATGGAAAACCTGCTATTAATATTGTTAAACCTTGGAGTGAAAAGTTTGATTTTCACTCTGAAGTGCTCAGAACAATCCCTTTATGGGTCAAGCTCCCAAACTTTCCCTTGAATTGTTGGGGAACTGATACCCTAAGCAGTGAAAGAAGTTGCTCAGAAACAAGTGTGGGTTCCTAAAACTCATACTACTGTTCCTCGGGCAAAGGTCAATGCTGATGTTGTACAACCTACACATCCTCCTATGACTACTCCTGCTGAAGATCATTTAGTTAATTCTGATGATGGATGGAGATTGGTGGGGAAAAAGACTAAAGCTCATACTGTTAGACAGACTCGGCATGCTGTTACTAGGGTGAATACATACAATGCTTTAATGGCTGATGAGGAGGCTGCTAATCCTATTGGGGGTGATGGTAATCCCCCTCTAGTGCCATGATTATTTCAACTTGGAACATTAGGCGTCTGAATGATCCCAATAAAGTGACTGATGTTAAGCAGTTACTTAGAGACCACTCTATTGATGTTGTAGCTATTTTAGAAACTAAAGTTAAACTGCATAAATTTGATTTTGTAAAAAAGAAGTTTGGCAAGGCTTGGGAGTGGATTTGCAATTATTCTTTCTCTCCCAAAGGTAGAATCTGGGTTGGCTGGAAACCTGATGATGTTTCTTTGGATGTTATAACTATTAATGAGCAGTTTGTTCATACAATTATCTATACTAAGGATTTGCTACATCAAATTGCCTGTACCTTTGTTTATGGGCTGCATTCTATTCAACATAGAGATCCTATGTGGACTGATATAAAAGGTTTAGGTAATATTCAATTACCTTGGCTTTGTATTGGTGATTTCAATTCTGTCTTGTCTTCTCGGGATAGGCTTAATGGGAATCCAGTTACTGACTATGAGGTTAAGGATTTCCAAGATTTTGTTCATAACTTAGATCTTGTTGAAATCAAGAGTAAAGGTTTCTTTTACTCTTGGAATAATAAGGGTTATGGAATGGATAGGATTGCTACCAGAATTGATAGAGGTTTGGTGAATGGAGCTTGGATGATGGCTTATGGTCAAACTGAGGCTATCTATCTCTCTCCTTCTTTATCTGATCATTGTCCTGTTTTGGTGGATTTGGTTCACTCCGTAGCTAGGAAGGGCAAACCCTTTAGATTTCTGAATTGCCTTGCTTCTCACAAGGATTTCCAGGAAGTTGTGTCTTCTCATTAGAATGTCAATGTTACTAGTAACTCTATGTTGCAAGTCTGGAAGAAACTAAAATATGTCAAGTCTGGTCTTAAAGATCTAAATACTAAGCATTTTACTAAGATCACTGATAGATTGGAAGCGGCTAAGTCTCATCTTACTGAGGTTCAATCTCAATTAGCTGAGGACTTTACTAATGTTTCTCTTCATAATCAGGAGGCTGCTGGGATAGAAAAATTGAAGTATTGGATGGATACTTATGAGAGTATCTTAAAGAAAAATTCAAGAGTTGACTGGATCAAGATTAGGGATTCTAACACTCATTATTTCTTTTCTGTTCTTAAACAAAGACAGAATAGGAATAGAATTGATTCTATTTATAATAGTGATGATGTTCTGCTGAAGGATCTAGGTTTAGTTCAAGATGAAATTATTAACTTATATCAGAATCTTTTAGGTTCTGCTGCTAGTACTTTACCAGTTGTTGATATTGCTATTGTTAGGGCTGGGAAGCAGCTATCCTTTGATGACATTGATATTCTTTTTGCTCCTGTTTCTCATGCTGAAATTGACCAAGCTTTGGCTAGTATTGGAGATGACAAAGCTCCTGGCATAGATGGATTCAATGTTGTGTTCTTTAAATAAGCTTGGAACCATGTGAAAAATGATGTTTACAAGGCTATTCTGGATTTCTTTGACACTGGTGTTCTTGTGAAATCCTATAGTTGTACTACTCTTACTCTGGTTCCAAAGGTTCAGAATCCTTCATATGTTAAGGAATATAGACCTATTTCTTGTTGCACCCTTGTTTATAAGTTGATCTCTAAGGTCATAACTGCTAGATTGGCAAGGGTGGTGGGTTCTGTTGTTAATGATGCTCAGGCTGGGTTCATCCCTGGGAAGCACATTGGGGATAACATTTTGCTTGCTACAGAGTTGATCAAAGGCTATTCTCAAAAATTTGTTACTCCTAGGTGCATGTTGAAAATTACTCCTAGGTGCATGTTGAAAATTGATCTTAGGAAATCATATGATTCAGTTGAATGGGGTTTCCTTGAGACTATGCTTGGTGAATTGGGATTTCCTAACAAGGTTATAACATGGATTATGAGTTGTATAACTTATGTTTCCTACTCAGTTATGATCAATGGATATCCTTCTGCTCCTTTTC